GAAGTGAACAAACGCACATTTGACATTTGTTCATTGCCATACGTTTAAACATTCAGTATTAGAAGCCCATTAAAAAATCTGGCACGTTTAAGCTCCAGGCTGCAGCTTTCAAAGGGACCACAGCACTTTGCAAGCCACCATACTGCAGTTAGCATTGATAGCTGCATTCACTCACAGCAGTAAGTATTGATAAAGGCTTTGAAAGCCTGCAGGTGATCTTCCATCTCTTATGCAAATATATGTATGTGTGTATATATATATATATATATATACGCACACACTGCTAAAACAAACTATTCTATAATTCATCCTTATGCTGATGAGGTAGTGTAAAATAAAAACCAAATATTGATCTGAGTTTGTGTATGGAAAAAAGTTTGCATTTAGGTTTGCATTGTAATGGATTTAACCTTGGGAAGCATGAATGCTTCTTTACTTCCATCAAAATGCAGGATTTCTATAGATTGACTTTAAAGCAGCAAAGCAGCATGCACAGCAGCATCACATTAATCACACAATGCAAAAGTTATTACAAACGAAAAACAAGCAATTTTGGGAATGCACTGAGAGACCCTGTTTCACTAGGTCTCCAGTAGGTCTGGGAAACACAGTTCTGCTTTGTGCGGGAAAGATGTTGTCCAGGAAATGCTTTTCATGTTTTAAAAACTACACTCAAGGATTTTTATAACATCGATAAAGGGGAATTGCTACTCACAGAAAAAGCTATTGCCCTCCATAAAGCATTTATTTCAACAAACGCGTGGTTTATTACCCAAGTCTGAGCAAGTCAGTGTATTTTCTAAGGCAGAAATGGAAATAAGTTTTGAAAAACAAAATCACAAAGTTCAAACGAACAGAGCAAAAGCATCTGCACATTGGTAAAAACAGGAAGTCTGTAAACCCCTATAAAGCAGCATGCTATTTCATATAGCATGATAATAGATGATGTGATGCCACTAATGTTTGTTTAAAAAGGCAAAGGTGAACAAAACAAATGTTTGTTTGTTGTCTACAGTTGCAATAGCAAGTTGATTGTACAAATAATTAGCAGATCCAGGGCCAATAATATATATATATATATACGGAATAGAATTCACAGGTTAGGAATAGAAATGGAGTACTTATTAAAGCTTGGAAAATAAAAGTTTTGAAGAAGTTTATTTTTCTGTCCTTCCTCATATGCCACTAAATGAGCCATGAGGTATTTTGCAACAGAGCCTTAGCGATAACAAAAATGCTTTTATGCACCTATGTTTTAAGGAACTGCAAATCATTTTCTTAAATAGATTAAAAAGAAAAATCAGAGTCTCTCTGGGAAGCTGGTACATGTTCTATTTATCTTGGGGACCTCTTCTCACCCAGAAACTCCAAAAAAAACCAAAGGGCCAGGGTTTAAACTGGAACCAAGCTGTAATTCAGAGCTCCTACCCTCCCCCCGCCAGCCGGGCTGTCAGAGCAGCAGCGCCCGAGCGCTGCTTCACAGGCAAGTGCAGGAGCCAAGGGAAGGAAGTGACACAGGCAGGAAAAAAGAGCACATCGAGGGAAAGACTGGGCTGCAGCTGGGCCTGCACTGAGCATTTCATCCTAGGCCTGCCACAAACCTTCAGCCCAGACGCCTCTCTCCCTGTTTCTCTGCAAGGGAGGCGAGCGGGGGCATTTTAAGAGCGCTGAGAAGCTCTGCTGTGGGAAACGCACAGGGAGCTACTGTGGGAGCAGCTCGGCTGCATCAGTGCACTTAGGACAAGCTGCAATGCCATTAACTTACTGCTATCCGGCCCCCTATCCCTCATCAGTTTATGAAGAACAAGATGGAAGTATAACACAATACAGCCTGTTCCCTATAGTTCTGTGTAAGATTTGGTCGTGGCATAATCGATCAGGATAAGATCATTCCCCTCAGGAGCAACCTGTTGGTTCAACAGCTTATGGAAGGCCCGGGAGCTTCTCGTTCGGCACTCACGTCTTTGGAAACGTAAGTGCAATTCCCACCAGGGATAGAGCTCCTTCCTTCGCAACTACAGAGAGTGCAAGGATGCCCGGAGGAGCCAGTGGACTGGACAACACGAAGCTGCTTTTCCTAAAGGAAGCCCGCTCCTGGATCTAGACCCATCTGTTCTATTTCCAGAATCAAAGCAAGCTCCGTACTTGTTTTGGTAATGGCTGCAGCTGGGCCAATTGCGGGCACAAAGGAAATAAAGTTGCTTCACTTCATGCAATCAAACACTGCATTTTCTGCAAAACTTGCAATACTTTACGAATTCACGATATAAGAGTTATGTGAACTGGATAGAGGAGTCTCAGGAAACTAAGTTGGTAGGAGGGGAGGTATAAAGAAGCACTAAACTCGGAGCCCCGCGACCAACGCGGCCCTGCGGCCCCTCCGCTTTGGGGGCAGGAGCCGCTCACCCGCGCACGGAGACCCTTCCCAGGGCTCAAGGAGGCGGCGGGTCCCGCGTCCCCCCGGCCAGGAGCGGCGCAGGCCGCATCACCCGGATGAATTTAACGGTTCCGCGGCGGCTACGGCAACTGCGACACC